GGGAACAGGACGGGACTGGCCCTCAGCCCACCTTGCCGTACCCAAGCCTTTCACCTTGAGGTTTCAGCTCATCTGCTTCTGATAAACTAGTCCAATTGAATACAATCTGCTGGTACCTGGGAGGTCTTGGTTACCTAGTAACAAACGAGACTCACCTGAGAAGAGGCTGCCACTCTCTCATCTGAGCACAGCTCAGCACCCAGCAACGAGGTCTCCATAGCAACACAAGGATGCTCGCGGAAGCTTCCTGTTCTGACGGGCACGACAAGAAGCAAAACCATCTATCTAGGCACCCAAGCACAAAACGTAGGACATGGGGCTGGAGAGACGGCTTGGTGGCTAAGAGCATTTGCTACTCTTACAGATGACCCAGGGTTCAGTTCCCAACACTCACACGGTGACTCACAAATGTCTCTAACTCCAGTTCTATGGGATCTGAAGCCCCCTTTGGCCTTTGCAGGTACTGCAATTCCCGTGGTGAACTTAGGGGCAAAATACACCCTAAAAGCTGCAGGACATAAAATTCTGTTTTTTCAGGCTAAACACACACACACACACACACACACACACACACACACACACACACGGAACCTGGGCACAAACCCTTCTTGGATGCCTAGGTCATTTTCTCTTCTGCCCTTAGAGGTCAGCATGACCACAGATGGGAATTAAGGACGAAAACTCAGGGTGGTATTCAGCCCACTCATACCTCAAGGCCAAACCTCCACGTTAATAAGACATATTATCTTTGTTTACATAATAGGGCATAGCCAAGTGCATTCCTCAAAGCAAAGTGTCACAACAGGTAAGGAAATCGGCTGCCCAGCCTGGTGACCTGAGCTTGATTTCTGGAACCCACATGGTAGAGAGAGAAGTGACTCCCCCAGACGGCCTCTGACCTTCACGTGTATGCTGTGGACTGTGCATATGTGTGCGCGTGCGCACACACACACACACACACACACACACACACACACACACACACACTAACAAAACGTATAACTGTAAAAGCAAATTTTAAAGGATGAAACACTGAGAGGTTTTTCCAGAAGGGTGCTAAGATGTGCCATCTATGAAGCCTAACCTCACCCAGCTGGTCAGGGATGGAGGCAGCAACACCACCAGGCTTCCTTACACACGGCACACGAAAGTCTCAAGTGATCGTGCCTTGGGGTCCCTCAACACCCCTCAATGCAATGCTAGCAACTCAAGTGGTTTTTCTAAAACCTAAAAATAAAAATAAAAACAAAGAACAATTCTATGCTTGAAAAGGGTGGTATTAGGAGGGCCACATCTGACTTACAAAGAGTTGGGGGGAAAGGCATTCTCAGTCGAGGGGGGGCACCATGCAGCCCTCTACCCAGGAACTGGGCTGGGTCCCTTGCTGGGGGCCAGCGGCTGCTCCCTAGTGAAAGCAGGCAGAGCTGGGCCATTTGGACTGTGGAAAGCAATGCCGGCATTGATTCTGAAATCGGCACAGGGAATCTGGAGAGCCCTTTGGTGCTGGGTCGGGGTCTCTGCCACACACGGCAACTCTAAGAGGCTGCAGAAGTGCTTTCCCGGCAGGTCCACACTCAGGGTGGGCCCTGAGGACAGGGGATAAAGGGTCCATCAGACAGCCCAGCCCCCTTGGGACAGGACCCATGAGGCCCCGCGTGACCACTGGATAAACCATCCACCAGGTGACCTAGACCAGCCATTACTGGTCAGAAAACGAATGAATCAGCTTTCCTGCACACTCACCTGGCTCCTTGTTGGGGCAGGGAACTCTATACAAGGTGACCAACAGTCAGGCAGGGCACAGACCCCCCCAAAACAGGAGGCCTGGAAACCTGCTGCTGAATCCACTCATGGGCCAGCCAGTCCCACAGGGACATCCCCACCAACAGCCAGGCATGCGGGCAGGAGAGCCTGGCCAGGTGCAGCCGGTCCAGGCGGCCAGGCTGCCTACAAGAGCAGTTGGAGTTTAACAGTGAACATGATCCTCCCTGGCACGGCTGAGGTGTAGAACC